ATTACTGCTACTTACAATTATAACTCATATATATATATATATATATATATATATATACAGTTTTTTTAGGGAATAACAATTAATTATTAGTTATTACTGAATTAACAAGCAAATACTGCATATTGTTGTCATTTTACTCTATGATAGTATTGACACTTTAATGAGTTAGCTTAATTACCAAGTATTTCATCTATAAGCAATTTTATAGAATTTAATAACAAAAATTAACAGTTAATGAGATGGAAGAAAAGATTTTGGTGATTAAATGATTTATAAGCAATTTGTTTAAGTTAATAGCTGAATAAGAATATTAATTTCCATGCAATAATTATTTTAGAACAAAATACTGCAAACCAAATTGTTAATTTTTATTCGAATTAATAAAATAACAAATATTTGCATAATTTGGAATGAATTCTGAGTATAGCATATAATGATGGCATGATAATAATTAGTTATCACTGCAAAATTAAAATAAATATAATTAAAAAAACAATTTTTGATTCGATCAAAATTGTTTGATTCTTTTTTCGGTTTTTGTATCATCATGAATATTATCATGATTTTGATAGTCGATAGTGATATATATAAGTTAGATTTGTTTTGTTGTAGTTTATTTAAATGAAGAAAATTTCTCCTCGAAACTAAGATATCAATCAAATAGATAAGTAATAAGATATTAAAATGAAATACTGATAATTGATTGGGTAAGCAATAAGATACTAAAATGTATTACTGATAATTGAATGGATAAGTAGTAGAACATATTTAATTGTATGCTTCATGATCATTTTAATAATCGTATGTAACAAAGGCTTAAAACAATTACGTATTTTCATTATGTACTTTTATCACGTACTATTATCATGTATCACGTACTTTTAAATATTATCACGTACTTTTTACACATTGCTATTAGTAATGCATTTTAATGCAATCTGAATTTTGTCAAACTTGATTAATATTCCAGTTTATTAATTTCCGGATTATTTGATTAGATTACGTAGTGAATAATTTAGAATCATTATACATGACCCTACTTTTGTCGATCATTAATACGTTAAGTATATAATTAAGTATATTAAATATAAATATTAAGTATGAATAGATAATTTAACACATTGCAAAAAATAAAATATTTTTTTTTTTGCAATTTGTAAGAAATGTAAACCGGCAAATAAGTAACTAGAAAAAGTAGTTATCTAATATTAAATATATCCGTAAGTATGTGATATATCAAATATGATTATACACACGTACCTATACGTGTAATACGTATGTGTTATATATCACACATTCGCTTAAAATTCATTGATAGGTAAAAATGACAATTTTACATATCCATTTAAATGATCGATCATTTGTTTGAGTACTAATTATGCAGAATTGTCACTAATAATTAAAACATCCCTTAACGATTCATAAAATTTCGTTTCAGAAATTTGCAATTCTAATAACAATGAATTGTTAGCATAGGAAGATAATTTTATTAAAGATTTCAAAAAAAAAGAGCGAAAAATATTGTCTTCATATTGGAAGAAAAAGAATCATTCTAAAAAAACTTCTAATCATAATAAATTTCACAAAAATTTCAAGAATTTTTCAAATTTCGATGATCAAAAAAATGCAAAAATTATTCATCGCTATCAAATAGACTCTCTCCTTCTCTCTCTCGCCTTCTCTCTCTTTCAAAAACTCTAAGTTTAAAGTTAATTAAAAAATTATCAGCAAAAAGTAAGAAAGGAGGAAAGGAATTCATGAAAAAGAAAAAATTAAAACTTAAATTTGATGAATTTTTGAGATGCTTAAATTCAAATTTTACTAAAAATTTTTGACAACAGCAAATGATAGTCAAAAATGTTTCGTTGTGAATTTTCTAATTTTTTTCGACATAATCTTTTAAAATTAATCGTGTTTGCAACACTTCCATTAATATCTTAATAGTAATAAAAATAAATACATTGAAAAGTGATCTTTTGAAATTTGCATAACTTTTTTTTGCAACTTTTAAAAAGGAATTGTCTTTAATTCTATTTTTCTTTTTCAAAATACTCAAATAATGCATAAATAAAATGAATGGATTGCAGTAAAATATATAGTTCGAAAATATAAAATAAACGATAAAAGTTAAGTCGCCATTTAAAAAAAAAAAGAGATAAATGGTTGATTATGCCAAATTATTTGTCATCTAAGCTTTGTCGCATAAATGATAAACATCAACAGATGATAATCTTTTTTGTATTTTTTAAAACGCAAAAAATTTAAAATACATTTTTTAAATTTAAAATGCATTTTTAAAACAAATTTATTGAAATATTTCTTCAACTCGTTTTTTGACTCTTTAAATGGTATTAAAATGATAAGCAATGATTAATGCATGATAACATTTCGATAATAATATCTCAAAATTACGGTAAGATACTGCGGTTGCTGTTAATCAACCATGGAATAATTTATTAATTAAGTGCTGCATTGATTAACGAATAGAATTAACTGAACAATTAATGTGCTTGTTATCAGTTTGATAAAAGTTTTAGTAGTAATAACATATTGGAAACATTTATTAGATCTTTTAAGGGTCTTACCTTATTTTCTTTCCTGTTAAAGAAAAAAAAAACTGAATAATAATGTATGTTAATGTATTTCCAGGAATTTGTACTAATACCAATCCTATTAGCCTATCCAGCATTAGCATGTTTGGGCGGTTTTGGCGGTTCTGCAGTATGTTGCCAACCACAACAGCAAGGATGTGCTGGACCTATTTGTAGTCCTGGTGGTTTTGGCGGTCCTAGTGCAGCATGCTGTCAACCACAACAACCAGGATGCACTGGCCCTATTTGTACTCCTGGCGGTTTTGGCGGTTTTGGTGGAGCATGTTGTCAACCACAGCAACCAGGATGCACTGGACCTACTTGTGCTGGAGTGCAAACGATTGGTGGTGGCAGAGGAGGGTAAATTAATTTTAATTATTTTTTGTTATATTTGATAACAGAATAAAATAAGAAAGAAAGTACAAATAAATGTTGAAAAATAAAGGAATGAAAACTTCAATTAATTAATTGAAGTGATTAATTGAATATTTTTTAAGTAATAATTTTTTATCTGTGAATTGAAATATTTAATGAATTGGAATCATGTAATATAAAATATAAAAGCATTAGTTTAGTACTATTACGATATAAATAAAATTTCGATTAAATTTAGTGATAAACTCAACGAATTATGCGTATAGTTTTATCGAATTTGAAAATTCGAAATTGAATTATTTAATGAAACGTACATTCATGCGACTTAATTAATTATTCAAAATAGCACTATTAAATTATATCATTGATTTTAATTTCAAAAATTTTTAGGTATGTAGCACCACCCACATTTCCAGGCGGTATTGGTGGATTTCCAAGTGGTCCTGACTATAGACCGGCAAGTTATGTAGCACCACCACTTAATGCTCCTGTACCACAAGTACCACCACAATCACAATCATCTTATAATGCACCTCAAGCAGCGCCACCACCACAATCATCATATAATGCACCTCAAGCAGCACCAGCACCAGCACAACCGTACGCTCCTCAGTTAGCTTATGGTGGACCACTGAAAGCACCATCGCTATCACAACCTTATAAATACAAAGATTCTACTCTAGGTGGTACACAATCACTTCTGCTACCACCGGAAAATCCACCAGTACCAGGACGATTTGCAGAAGGTATTGAGCAAGCAACTCTTCCTGATGGTAAATTTTCACTTTTAGTTTCACAACTTTTCTTTTCACTTAAAACAATCGTAAAGAATGAAAAAAAAGTTTCACTTTCAAATTTTAGATGAAAATATAAATATTTTAAAAATTACCCGATATTTTATCAAATAGAATGAATTGATTAATCTTGTTAATATTTTCTTTGAATTATTTATTGTAATATAGACATAAGCATTCCGTTAAATCTGTACTTCTGTTGTTTTATTTGCATTCATAGGTACCTTTCTTGTAATTCTATATTCTACTGCAAAACTTTTTTATAATAAAAGTCCTCTTTCTGATTGATTGAATTGAAGATAAATTTGATAATTTCTCAAATTTCATCATTATTATAATGAATTTAAAAAGAGAAGGAGAGAAGAAAAAATGAGAGATCAATCAGTAATTGTATCTTAAAGTAATGCACACTTTCTACAAATATGTTATTTATATTTTGTATTTTATATATTTTTTTTCAAATTTAAAGATCTAAAAAGTGAAAAAATTCAATTACTTCATGTGAATTGAAGATAAGTTAGTACTTTTATTGATCATTTTTAGACGACACAATTAATTTTGCTGGCATATCATCAGCATCATCATCAATTGATGAAAAGGTACCGGTGGGAAGTGGAACCCAAGAAGTAGCCCAAACGCATAAATCAACAACTCAGCCGGAAGCAGTTTCAATCCGTCGACAAAGTATCAAACGATTTTGGCGATACTGATTAAAATTACATAAAACTATTTTATTTAATTTGATAATAGCATAAAATCTTTCAATCTTTGATGAAATTTTATTGTTGAATAATTCAACGAATAAAAAATTTTTTTGCTTTTTTAAGGATCATTAGCTAAGCTATTTCTCAATTTTTTGCTATATTTATCTCTTCAGAAATATTATCTTTAAAAAAAAAAAGAAAATACAAATTATCAAAAAAAGATAAAAAGGAAATTTTACTAGAAATAAAAAAAAGAAAAAATAAAAAAATTTTTACAAAAAATAGGGGAAAAAATTAGAAAAACTATTGTATTAAAATTAAAGTAATTTTCAAATATTATACGAAATTCTTCAGATTTTAAATTTATGAAAGTTTCTACCTCTTTGAATTTTCTCCTGCGATTTTCTTATAATTTAGAAAAAAAAAATTATTTTTATAATTTACATTGGATTGTAACCCTTGACTTATTATTGCATTTTCCTCGAACTTCATCATATCAATTGCATTTTCAACATCTCCATATGTGACCTCTTCACGGAATATTATCATAGGGAAGAATAAACTTCATTTCTTTCAATACAAAAAAAGATGAAAAAAAAATTCAATTTATTATCTCAAAAGTATTTCATTCAATTTGTAATCACTGAAATATGACCCAAGAAATATATATCTAAGTCAGAAATATTGCGATGTTTGATGAGAAATTACAGCTTGAAAGTTGAAATTAATTGGCAGTTAATTATTTGATTAATTATGTCGACCTTTGCATTATCAGTATTTGATGAATTAATGAAAAATTCTAATGTTACATTGTGCAACTGTTTGAATTACATTCAAACAAGCTACAAATTGTATTGGAAATCAATTAATTATCAATTTCATTTGTCCAAATAATCAATAAATGTTTCTTTCTTTTTGGGTAATTAATTTATTTAACAAACTATAAACCGTATTAGAAATTAAATAATTATTTCATTTGACCAAATAATGAATAAATTGGTTGGTTTTTTTGGGATAATTAATTA